CCACTTCATTAGCTCTGGAGCTCCTTGTACTTGTCCCCCACTCTTCCTCAGTAGCATGTTGGACACCTTCTGAATTGAGGGGCTCATCTTCCAGCGTCATATCTTTTAACCTGTTGTTCCTGTCCATGGAGTTTTCTTGGCAAAGATACAGTACTGGAGTGGCTTGCCAGTTCCTGTTCCGCGTTTAGTCTGAACTCTCCACTGTGCCCTGTCCATCTTTGGTGTCCCTGCATGGCATAGCCCATAGCTTCTCTGAATTACTCAAGTCTCTTTGCCACGACAAGGCAGCAATCCGTGAAGCGGGTAAAATATTAGGAATTAATTAATACTGAAAACATTTTACCTTCTGGGTTTAGGCTCCTCATGTTTCTGGTTTTTAACGCATTATATGGTCTAACTTGAATTTGATGTTCCAGTATTGAGTGAGGATAGCGGTCAAAGAAGATTTCATTAGCAGCCATGTCAAATGTAGGAATGACTTCCTGTACAAATTGGATACAAACCATAAGTATACACATTTCCACTGCTATACAACATTTGGGGGGGAAAACACATTCTGATCTTGTTCAGTTATAGGTAGGAGGATGAATTAAGGACCATCTTTAAAAGCCTCCATACTTTTGTAATAATGAAAGAAATCTAAAACATAAGGTTGTGTCCAAGGCCAGTATCTTTTACTTTGTATGTACTTATATAGGAAACTCTTTTTTTTTTTTTTGTTACATCCAGTTTGGGTTGAATTTGTATTCCTGTTATTTTTCTTATCTGATTTAAAATGTTTCCAGAACTCATTTAGAAATAATGGCATAGAACCAGGAGATCAATACATGTTTTACATAATTAAAATTAAGTGTTCTCTTTATCATTATCACACCATTAATACACATCTGAAATAATAAAGGCAACAGATCAAAATTGCATCCACTAACTAAATTATTGCTGTTACAATTATGAACTATTTCTGAGTACTCCCTACTTAGAAAATCCTGAAAAGGGTAGCAATAAATCAGAATTGACTTGACAGCACATGATGATGATGATTACTACCACTTTCACTGTATCAAAGAGGCTGTTGAAAACTTACCTGGGGATAGCATATCAGCTGTCTATACAGATTTTTATCAAATGATTTCAGATGGTCACAGTTTACATTCAAAAATGGTTCCCCAACCAAGCTTATCTGCAAAACAATTTGTCTTAAATTAACAACTATAATTTAAACGTGTAAATGGAAGCAAGGTTTCAACAATACAGTATTGCTGTAACATACCTCCTCTAGTCGCTGCATATACAGAGGCTCATTAACATCCAATCCAATATTTTCTTCTTTAGCTGTCGGATCAATGAAACGCTGAAGAAATCTCTGAAAATTTAGGGATAGGTATCCAGTTACAGTATTTGAGTTCTTCCAACAGAATCACAGTAAGCAAAATGTTGTAATATAATTGATAATTATTCTTCCATAAGTGATTTTGATTTTGTGTCACTGGCAAACTGTGATTGAACACCACTCATCAGAACACTGGAGAAATATATCTTAGCTGCAAGTTTCTCATAAGCATCATCATACATTTCTTTCTCGCAAGCAAATTATCACTTTATTACACCCAAATGTGACTGTTTCAACTTGAATTAAGCATGTTCTGCCAATACAATATGTGAGATTATAAACATATTTGCAAAAATATACTGTGTACACTCACCTGGAACTTTTCTTTGCATGAGGCCACATTGACATCTGTTCCCCAAATCACAAGCTTTTGTTCAAGTGATTGTTCACTTGCCGCATCCTCTGCTGTAGGCTGAACACAGAAGTAAATCATCATTATTATTTTGAGGTTGCAAATCATTACACAATAAGATTCAGTGAATTCAATGCAAGAGACATTTTTTCAAGTAAATATGCAGAAGCATTGGCTTACTGCGTGAAATGTGAGACACCTACCATATCAGAATGCAGATCCACCTGTCTTGCTTTGCGGACAGAACCAAGATCGGCCCTCTGTCGAACTGGAGTTCCTCGCACACCACTCCTTGGGGTTGCATCTACTCTAGAACTGGGAGTGCCATAGGTCAGTGGTGAACTCACATCAAAGTCCAGTGGAACTATTACAAATAACACAAAATGCACAAATAAATGTAACTGTTACATAAGCTTACCAATTTGCTTCCTCCAAGAGAAGGCAAGAAATTATGGTACTTTGTGGAATAATCCTAGTGTTTTAAAAATCAACAAACATCATAAGCCTAAACATTTGTTCTAAAAGTAAACTGGTAGCTTCCAAGTCAACTGATCTTATTTTGCAGCAATTCAGTGCTAAAAGTTATGCCAGTGGCATTATGAAGGGTGTAACAAATAGCATCTTGGCCAATAATTTTTAGAATGGGTTGACTCTGAACTGTAGTGGGCTCCCATCTGTGGGATATATAATTATTTTAAATTAATACCATGCACAAATAATCTTATCATTACCTTGATACAGTATTAAAACAGGTAGCTGAATCTACCATAAATCATACAGGAAAGATATTGATACATTAATTGGTTAACTTTATTTACTTGAAGCTATTTGATACTATGATTACCGCTGATGCGTTACAAATATGACAACATTCCATTATAATAATAAATTCTCGAAGACAAAGGGCAAGTATTATAATTACTTTAAAAATAACTTCAGTGAAGAATTTAAATGTGTGCTTAAATACCTTCCCAAAACAAGAATGAGAGATCATAACTTAGAATAGATGACATCATTAATACAAATGTCTTATGGACATTTGTATTAATAATTCTTCATACGAGTCAATTTTTCCATTGTTAAAAACATCCCTCATTATTTGATACAGTATTACCTTCACTCTCTCCTGCCCTCCTCCAAGTTGGTTTTCACAGTGACTTATGGCCTAGGGAAATATATTTCAGAGGGGCATGCATCTAACTTAATTTCTTGGGTCTGGCACTTAGCTTGAAGATTTTTCTTTTGAATATCTTTTCCTCATGACCCCAAATGAAGAGCAAATAATAGAAAGATTTTTTTAAAAAATTAAGTCATCAAGGGAACAATATCACAAAATTTATCAAAATAATTTGACAAGCTATTTTACAAAGCAGTCTGATGTTATTACTAGATCACCTAATCCAAACACAAAGATACCTGAATGTTGGAATTGTGGTGGACTAGAAAACAGTGTGACTTGAGCATTTGGGCTTTGTGTGCCAATCAGTGGAGAGGTTGGCATTGGCTGCAAATCTCCTGTGGATGTGGAATCATCTGGGCGACGTCGCTGTGATGGAGGGGACTGTATATCTTCAGAAGCAGCTGCAAGTGAATGACAGGTAAGAGATTATGTAAACTTTTGTATACACCTCACATTTTAAGCCAAACAGCAGGATCTTTACTTTTTCAAAAATGTTGTTGATATGTGTTGTCAAGTTGGAAGCAATCTATACTGACCCTGATCGGGCTTTCAAGGTAAGTGAGATATTTAAGTAGTTTTACGTCCCTGATGAGTTTCCATGACAGACAGAATTTGAACCCATCTCCCAAGTCCTAGTCTGTCACTCTATGCACTACACCACACTGGGTATCCAGTAATACTGTAAAAAGGGATAGTCCATCTTTTTTTGGATTTAAGATAGCACTGATTTTTCACTTTGTTATTTAAAGAACAGTTAAGCCACAAACTCTCCTCCTCCAAAGAAAACCTTGATAAGTGGAATTATTGATGCAACATTATTATACTCTGGGCTTGTTAGCAAAATAAGGCAACAACGTCTCAAAACAGAGATAAACACTTTCTGCATGAAGTAGCAGAGCATTATGTTCACCTATTAATTTGTGTTTGTGCCAACCCTAGCACTTTTGCCAATTTGGAAGTTACAAATACTGTAGATGGCATTGCCATATGGCTCCTCATAATTTAGTGAGATTTCACAATAAATCCTAATAAGGAAGCTGCACTAGCTTAGTAGTAGTACAAGTGAAAAGGGTCTAAATGTTTTAGTAGGTCACAAAATGAATACTGTATAAGTCAGCAATATAATCAGGGTACTTTTAAAAAGGCCTAAATTCAGTAGTCCCACCTAGAGTAAACCTACTGAACTGCTTAATGGTGACTCAACATTTATGCAAATCACACTGATTCAATAGCTCTTCTTTAGTTTAACCATTTGGATTCAAGACTTGGTCTGACTAAAAAGGCATAGTTTCCAGGTAACAAAAATGGTCCTGATTTCTGTTGGGATCACCCATCTTTCTCTAGAAAGCAGGGCTAGAATCAATAAGAGGAAAATAAAAGGAAGATCTCAGCTAAAGATCACTGGACATTTCTCAGCAATAGCTGTTTTACACGCAGGACAGACTGCTGCATGAGTTGGATGACTTCCTTTTGGCTGGACATATTTTAAACAGAGGCTAAATGACAACCTGTCAGGGACGTTGCTTAGATATATTCTATACTGCAGATCTTGCACTGAGCAAATGCTGGACTAGATTACCTCAAAAGACATCTACAACTGTACAAACACAGATGTATTTTGAAGAATAAGCTTATCAATATTCAGAGGCCTCCTGGTCACATGATACATTTCAAAGTCCATGTTTACAACCTCTGTTAGGCCAACTGAAAACACATGAATCTCTGTGTCAGCTTTGAAGGTGACAGAACTTTTCTCCATGAAAGTAGTGGGTGGAAGGTGTAGTTTCCTTTTAAAGACAGGTACTGCTGGCTAGACAGCTCAGTGGTTTAGGTCTCTGGCTGCAGAGTCAGAGGCTGGGAGTTCAATTCTCCACTATGCCTGCAGGGAGAAACTATTTAAAATATTTTTACCCCACCTTTCTCCTTGAAAAGGACCCACAGCAGCTTACAATATTGAAAGAAAATATTTGAAGTTAAAAGATAATATTCAAAGCTAAGAACAATGAATATAAAGAGGTATCTTACATTGTAAAAAGGCAATAATTAAAGTTAGGAACAATATATATACTGATATTAAAAACAAAAAAGTCACTGAGAGGAGAAAACACAATAAAATCCATCTAAAAATCACACACAGGTAGCTAGATTACTGAGGGAAGGCTTGCCTGATGAGAAAGGTCTTTGCCTGCTTGCAGGATAGCAAAGATGGGGCCAGCCTGGCCTCCAGTGGGAAAGAGTTCCAGAGTCTGGGAGCAGCAACAGAGAAGGTTCTCTCGTGTTCCCCATCAGACGCACCTGTGAAGGTGGCGGGACAGGGAGAAAGGCCTCTCCTGGTGATCTTAACACCCGAGCCGGCTCATAATAGCAGACAGCTTGGACCCAGGTCATTTAGGACTTTACAGGTCAATACCAGCACTTTGAAATGTTCCTGAAAAGTGATTGGCAGCCAGTGGAGGTGCTGTAACAGGGAGGTTATGGGATCCCTGTAACCAGCCCCAGTCAATAATCTAGCTGCTGGATTTTGGACCCACTGAAGTTTCCTGACACTTTCCTGTCGCAGCCTCACATAGAATGTTTTACAGTAATCCAGCTGGGAAGTAATTAGGACATGTATGACAGTGGCCAGATCAGATCTCTCAAGAGACGGACATAGTTGGTGCGGTAGTTTTAATTGTGCAAATGAACTCCTAGCCACCAGAGATCAGGGCATCCAGGCTGAGGGATGAATCCAGGAGCACCCCCTAAATTGCACACCTGTTTTTTCAATTAGAGTGTAATCCCATCCAGTACTGACTGCATTCCTATTCCTTGTTCTGTCTTTTGAATGACCAGGAGCAACCTCTGTCTTGTCTGCATTAAGTTTCAATGTATTCACCTTCACGAGCACCTCTGTCTTGTCTGCATTAAGTTTTAATGTATTCACCTTCATCCAGCTATTACTGATACCAAACACTAATTTAGAGCTGAAACTGCTTCCTCAGATTTACAGGGCAAGTAGAGGTAGAGTTGGGTATAGAGCTGAAACTGCTTCCTCAGATTTACATGGCAAGTAGAGGTAGAGTCGGGTATCATCCTCATACTGGCGACACTGAACCCCAAAACTTTGGACAATCTCTCCCAGCAGGTTCATGCAGATGTTACATAACATAGAAAACAAAACAGAACCCCGAAGCACCTCACAGGTCAGTGGCCACGGTGTGAAACAGGAGGGCCCCCCCCTAACACCACCAAAACAAAACAGAACCCCGAAGCACCTCACAAGTCAGTGGCCACGATGTGAAACAGGAGCCCCCCCTAACTCCACCTTCTGAGTTCTGTCCTCCAGGAAGGACTGGAGCCAGCGTAAAACAGGGCCCTCAAGTCCCATTCCAGAGACAGGGCAGGAGGATAGTGTGGTCAACAGTATCAAAAGCAATGGAGTGATTCAGCCAACTTGTGTGACCTTGGGCAAAGTGTACAGTCCCAGGAAGACCCCAGGACGATCAACTGCTACTGAGTACTCTCTACCTGAAAAACCCTGCAAAAGGGTCACCATCTACCTGGAAAACCCTGCAAAAGGGTCACTGCAAGTCGCAAGCGATGTGCACGTTATTATTATGAGTGGTTATTTATTAGTTGTTGTACATGTATTGATTTTCCTCCAGTGGACCCTCCTGGGTGACACACATGGCTCTCCTCTTCTCCACTTTGTTCTTACAACCTTGCATTGTAAGACAAGCCGTGGAAACGTGACTAGCCCAGAGCCACCAAATGAGTTGCATCGCCGTCTTGAGGATTTGAACCCAAGACACAGGCAGTCTGGCGTCCAACGCTACAACCACGGCATCACGCTGGCTAGTGAGGCCAACTTAAAAAGTAGCAGGGAAGACACTGCAGACATTCAAGCGAGTTCATCAGGTCGTGGAGGGAGAAAACGTGGCCAGAGGCCACCCACACAGACACAGGGGCGCCCGAGGCCAGCCACTTACGCGTAGGAGGGTTGGGGGTCCCACTGTCTCCCCGGCCGGCTGCCCCCCTTTGGCGTTTACTGCCGCGGCGGCTCGGTGTGGACGCTGGCGAGGACATGGCTCGATCCCTCAGGCGAATCCCCTAAAGCAAAAGAGACAAAAGAGAAAGCGCCGCCCCAACTCCGAAGGGAGGGAAGGGGGGAAAAAGCCGCGAGCGTTCGTGAGGATAAAGGGCGTCCCGGGACAAATGCGGCGAACGACCCCTCTCCCTCGCGCCCTTTGCGGAGGCTTCCCTCCTCGCGCCACGAGGGGCAATTTTTACGGTACCTTCTCGGCAGGCAAAATAGGCGGCGGGCGAAGAACTATATAAAAAAATCCGCGCCAAAACCGTCAGGTGACCTGAGGCTTTCGCGGGCTTTCTCACCAATCCCAACGCGGATGAGACCAATCGTCCACCCACAAGGGTGGCCGCTGTTCTTGCCTTCCCATGTTGAGGTAAAAGACTCAGAGGGATACGGGAAGTGAAGAAATGAATCGTCATGGAGCCTAGGGACGCAGCTTAAAACCCAACGGAATCATGGATAGCCGTCGGCTTTCTAAAGGGAAAGGGTTTTCTTCAATGTTGGCACATCCCTACGGCCCGAATGGTAGACTCCTATTTGACAGCCAACCTCTTGTACGAGGAAGAGCCTATGATCCTTAATAGGGTGGAGATTAACAGTTTGGGCGGGGCGAGTAGAAGTAACTTCTTCAAATGGCAGCGGATTAATAATGTTCAAACGAAGCAACTCTTCCGTATGTTCCGGTTGCAACCCGGAAACGTCACCATCCTTCAGGGCTTCATCCGCTGTGACTTCTTCCCTTGAGGCCAATTCAATACATCACTCCCCACGAGAGAGTTGGTTTCTTCCCCTCAGTCTTCTGCTCCCCCCCTCGTGGCAGGCCTTGGTTGGTTCCGTCCATAACACCACCACCCCCCACTTTTCCCTCTGAGGGCGTCTCGGAGCAAGAGGGTCTTTCCTGTCGTCGGAGTGGGCGGGAGTCCGCCATGGCCACGACTTCCCCGGAGGCTCCCGGGACGGGGTTGCAGGGCTTGTTGCTTCAGTTGCACGGCGCCCTGCAAAGCGGCGACCCTGGCAGCGCAGCCCTCCAGAGCCACAGTGTGGTCCGTTCTTGGGCGGAGAGGTGCCTGACGAGTAGCGGAGACGGCGTCCTGGGTGCGTTGCAGGTTTTGTCCGGGAGCTGCTGGAGGAGGGGTCGGCCGTGCTTTTTTTTTTGCTATAGGAACGCGACCAAAAAAAAGTCCCTTACGGCTGGAACGCGGGGAGGGGGGAACTTACTTTGTCTACAAGATGATGGGTGCTTTTTCAGCTGCGGAATTTCCTGCCACCTGAAATTTGTCCCATCCGTCGTACGTTTCATCTGGCTAGCTTTATAGCACGCCTCCATAGGCTTTGAGCGGTGTTGCCCAATTTGATGCGTTTTTAAGAAAAAAAATTCTTTCAAGGAAAGGGTTTCCTTGCAAATAAATTGTGCATGGGCTTATAGAAGGGCAGTTCTTTCCTATGGGTGTTCTTAATGATAGGCAGTGACATCTTATAACTTCTCTTAAAAGTATACCCTGCTGTGTTTAGTGGAATTTGGTTCCTTCTAAAATGTTTGGGATGGCAGTATTTAATATGTGAGGTTATTAATAAGTAATTTTTGCATCAGTAAGGCAGACGTCTCTGGTGATATGCATGGGACTGTGCAGTGAGGTATCTGAAGATGTTGTGATTCTGGTTTCTCATTCATCTGCTTGAAACATTCCATTTAGTGTTCTTTCATGATAAGACTGCTGATTTTTCTCTTTGCAGCAGTATGGTGGTTATTCTTTTTTGTTAAACCTGTCGGTTTCACATGTTAATTTGGAGTGTCTTTAATTGCAGTTCATTAAGTAAAATAAATACATGTACTTTTGAATCAGGCAATTAAATACTACTTGGGAATGATACAAACTTTTAAGTAGAGCAAACCAGAGCAAGTCAGTTTTGTTTTGTTTTTACTAATGAGACAAAAACATATGAAAGGTTGAAAGACACAGAAGCATATGCAGCCCTTCAAGTATCATTGATACATATTTGTTCCCTTATCCCCAGATCTTTGGAAATATCCACCCCATCATGGGGTTTCCCTTCATATTTTAACTTTAGAACACAAAAACCTCATCTTCTGATGTTCATTTGTATTTTATTATTTTTGGATCCCCTATCTGAATTTGACCTAGGGCTTTTCTGGTATTATGTACAGTACTGTACTAATAAACTATCATAATAAGCGTAACACATAAGTTATCTCTGAAGGTAATGATGAGTATAACTAATGCAAACATAGGAAGAAAGGCAACAAAGTGTTAATAGTTTCACTTCTTTGCCAGTGGGCTTGTAGTGTATTTTGCATGGAAGTCTGTTGAAATAGTCCTACAAATTGCAAAACTTATTAACATCTTGCAGTTAAAATTTTTTTTTATTAAGGCAGTGACATCTGTAGAAATACATACAAACAAAAATACCTTGGGAGGCAAAGTTAGTAGAATTCGATGGCATCCTTCAGTCTCGAAAGACTATGGTATCGTGCTCTGTATCGAGGACTTGGCCAGGGACAGTTTAATTGATGGTATCCTGCTCTGTATGGAGGACTTGGCCAGGGACAGTTTCATTTTCCAGCAGCAGAAAGGAGAAAGTTGTGTGGTCAACGGATACAACCCAAAGACAAGGGTGGATGATACTGTATTTTTATTAGACTATAAAATATCCTGAATAGAAATTAGCTTTAGATTCCAGCAGGACCATTTATTGTGCTAGGTTTTACAGTGCTATGTGAGGTGCTGCAGAAGCATAGACATTCAAAAAATGTATGTGCCATGCTCCTTTTTTAAAGCAAGTTAATTATTGCTTCTCTGTTGGAAAGGAAGCAGAGTAGTCTTAGAAATATTAAGAGCTGTGATGGGCATAATAAATACAGTAAGATTTGGGGACAATATCATATCCCTCCAAGTGCTGCTTAGATGGGATTTTGTTATCTCTAAATCCTGTGACACAGTGCTGTGAGTGGGTATTCTGGAAATCAGCTCTGCGCCAATTTAACACTTAATATAAATAGACTGTTGTTCAGTGTTGATAGTTTTAACATGAGATTTATTTGTGTAATACATGCAGCATATCCAGGGTACATTTATCAGCATAGAGGGCTTGGAAAAAGTCTGAATGTGTCAAATGCGTGTAGTCTAGGAGCATGGGACTCTTTTCAGGCCTATGACCAAATTCCAGCATAGGGAAAATATTGAGTGCTGAATTTCAACCATAGGACCAAATGCAGGATGAGCAGGTATAGTAAAAGATAGTCAGTGTTGAGTGGAGGAGGAATATGATTCTTATTACAGCCTCTTTTTGAAAGGAAAAGAGCAAGCCTCTGCATATCTGTTGAGAAGTATTCTGGACTGAATCACTTAGCAACTTTCTCTTCAGGTCTGCCCATACTGCCCCTTCATGCATTCCCTATGAGCAGGGCTAATCATATGTATTCTTCAAACATTTGCTTGCAGATGATTTAATTTTGATTTCATGTGGCTTGTTTGAATCCTTACTTGTTCTTCCGACAGCCCTACAGACCTCGCTGGTGTTTTCTAAAGAAGATGGGTTACTTGCCTTCATCCATAAGTCACTGAACATTGAAGAGGTAAGTTGATAATCATAGGTTGATGCATGTTTGCAAATACCGGTAATTTGTAGCCTCCTTGCCTGCTTGACTGAAGTTGGTTTCCAGAAAAAAATTGTTCTATTTTTAGGTTAGAAGAGAGTTAAACTTCTTTCAGGTTGTTTGTAATAAAGAATTAACAATGTTAGGCAGATCAGAAGTTTTCTGAACAAGTTGTATTTTTGTATTGACTTCGCAGTAGTGCTTTAGAGCCATAGTTCTTATTTTCTGTCCATATAATAACAATGATAATAACAGTAATCCTGTGCCATCAAATCAATTCTGACTTATGGCAGGGGGTTTCCTAAGTAGAGAATACACAGAAGTGGTTTACTGTTCCCTTCTTCTGGGAGCATCCTAGGACTGTGCAGCCTGTGCAAGGCCACAGAGGCTGGCTCTACTCTCAGGAGGCACAGTGGAGAATGGAACTCCCAACCTCTGGCTTCACAGCTAGATACCTAAACCACTGTCTGTCCATATAGCTTGGTGAAAATGTTCTCTTATTTTCAGTTCCGAGACTGCAGAGAAGAGGCATTAAAATTTCTTTGTGCCTTTTTGGAAAAGATTGGACAAAAAGTTCACCCTTATGCACAAGATATAAAGGTGAGTCAAACTTAATTATCCTGCAATGAACACAAAAATTTAGTTTAATAAAGCTATGAATATAATCCTGTGACTTACAAAATATAGCAAGCATTTATAAAATAGCTAACAATCCTTCCTTGTTTAAATGTTTGTGAAGGAGCCTTTATGTGCACTTAATCTGCAACACTATCATGTGTGCAGTACAACTGTTGTATTCCTGTCTTTTTCAAGGAGAAACTTAAATTCCATCTGAAAGGGTTCAACATTTTCAAGGCTGAAAATCTATAGAATTGTACTTGTGGATGATATTCCTGCATTGAGCAGGGTGTTAGACTCAATGGCCTTCCAATTTCATGATTCTTTGATATTGTTGGGTCTCTCTAAATTGTACACCTTTAGCTTCAATATTCAGATTACACTGAGCTAATATAATAGCTTGGCACATCTGGTCCTGAAGTGAGAGGAGCTCAGCATCATCTTAGCCTAGACTAAGACTTGCATTCTAGGTCTTTCTCAGTCCTGCTAATATGGGACATTGGTAGTGCAACAATATTACATATAGCCCTTTCATAAGAGTAATGGAGGGAAGCAGATCAGGAGAGTAATTTTTATAGAGAGAAATATAGTGGCAGGACTTTGCTTGGACAATTTAGATATTTTAAATTTTGCAGAATTGTGAAGAAGTAACAAAGTTATCATCACTGTTTTTCTTTAAATTCAGCGGGTGTGTTTTAGTGTTTATGTGAAAGACAAAGCAGCAAAATGCAGGATCCCAGCCCTAGAACTACTGATCAAGGTAAAATCTATATTTTAGTTCTTAATAATTCTGTATTTTTTCTGAATTCTAAGAAAATTTGATTACACAAACTTTTATGCCATGATATACAAGAGTTAGTGCAATGAAAATGTTCTAATGCAATTTTAATTTAAATGCAAAAATGCCTTGAAATATGTGACATTTATAGTTTTTGTTATCTGGAATGTTCACTTAGCTTCTTCAGAATTTACGATATTCGTATGTGATGGAAGATATGAAAGTTGGAGAAATCTTTAATAAATTCTATGGTGAACTTGCAGTGAAAAGTAAAGTGTCTGATACAGGTAATGCATAATTTTTATGTTTGTATTTTTTTCTTTATTGTGGCACATTGGTTCCCAAACTGGAAGAAGTTCCCAGGGGGAACGGATAGAAGGTTGAGATTTTCATAAATAATTTTTTCTATCACGTTAAACCAAGTTCTGTGGTATCATCAGTAGAAGTTAATGTTTCTCAAGAAAAACTTGGTGCTTATTTTGGATTTAAAATAGTTTACCAAGTTCTTGTGTTAATGGACAGTGGTGCAGGAGAGGCATGAGCAATGGTTTTCAATCTTTAGACTTTATGTGTGCGTGACTTGAAAGGTGAGTTGGGCATCTTCCCACTTAGTCTTTGCTTAACTTGCTACATTAACAGGAACCCTGAGAACTTGTTGCTGAACTTGAGACAAGCGAGCTAGCTTTTAATAGAATGCTTATTGTCTGTGCCAACACTCTCCTTATGGACCCAGGCCATTTGTGATTACAGTAGTAAGTGAGCCTGCTCAGACACTCATGGAAGCTTCAGATTTGGGGACAGCTTCACTGTCGGCTTTAGTTTTGTTGCTTGAGTAAGAGTGGCAGTGTAAATGGTTCCGGCCAAGTAGATATGATCTAATAAGAATTTAGAGGTCTTTTAGTGTTGCCTAAGTAATTGGTTAAATCCTTAGTTGATTGGTAGTAGAACTGGTGCATCAAATTTTTGTATGTTTTGTGCTGTTTTTAATCTCTAAGTTTTTTATGGTGTTGCAAGCTACCTTTAGTCCTAAATCTGGGAGAAAAGCAAGATATAATCTAAATTAGCAAATTAAGAAAAAGGTAAAGATGAGATTGTGATGCTAAATGTTTTTGGTTGTTTATTGAAGTGTTGGAAAGGATTTATGAGCTCCTGGGAGTTTTGGGAGAAGTCCAGCCTAGTGATATGCTTGGCAACTCTGAAAAACTATTCCGAGCTTATCTGGGAGAACTCAAAACACAGGTAAAGAAAATACCTTTTGTGAAACCAGCCTTTTATTCCTAAATGTCTTTATCTGAAGTGGAAACCAAAGATTTCCAGGAACTTTATTTCATAAAACAAGATTGGCTGAAATCCTGTTGCTTAATTATACAGGTAAAGGCAAGTAGAATAACATTCAGCCACTTATAGCTGGAAGTTAGAGATGGACACAACTTAAGTCATGCCCCTTTGTATGAAGCTCCTTGTGCAGCACCACAGTTCCCTCCCCGACCCTCCACACGGCTGCCTCACTCACAAACGAACTTTATTTCATAAAACAAGATTGGCTGAAATCCTGTTGCTTAATTATACAGGTAAAGGCAAGTAGAATAACATTCAGCCACTTATAGCTGGAAGTTAGAGATGGACACAACTTAAGTCATGCCCCTTTGTATGAAGCTCCTTGTGCAGCACCACAGTTCCCTCCCCGACCCTCCACACGGCTGCCTCACTCACAAACCTCTGTGTAGCCCCTTTGTACGAAGCTCCTTGTGCAGCACCGCAGTTCCCTCCCCCACCCTCCACACGGATGCCTCACTCACAAACCTCTGTGTACTGCCTGGGTTGTCCTCCATCATTGTCTGCCCAGTCTGGGCAGGAGCCTGGACTTCCCTTTCTTGCCTTCTCCAGCAGCTGGCTGCTCACAGGCTGTGCAGAGAGAATCTCCATCTTGCCTGCTCATTTCAGTGGTGCCCATCTCTGCTGACAGTTACTGTAATGAGTCCCCACTGGGATTCTTGAGCACACAGCAAGCCAGTGTGTGCCTCGAGAATCTCAGTGGCAACTCATTAATTGCTAAACTAGAATTGACTGAAAGTTATACTGTCTGCCTTTCTCATATGTAATTGAGCAACAGGATTTCAGTCTGTTATATTGTATCTGAAAGACCTACTATCCTAATCAAAACCTACTGTTCATTAATGCCAGCGTAAGTGCAGTCATGTAAATTGCAACAACAGTTTGGTGCTAGTTAACAAGTCAAATTTTGTATTTCTCATTGTGTACTGTGATGAGGAATGCAAAGAGCAACAAATAACAATTTGCTGCTGTAGCATGTGAGCATCAACATACAGTAGTGCCTCGCTTAACGGGCGCCCCGTTTAACGAGGAATCCGCATACTGATGCGGATTTTGCGATCGCAAAAGCGATCACATTACGATGTTACCTATGGGGAAAATCGCTTCTACCTATGGGGAAAAATCCTTCTCAAGCTCCCGCCGGTCAGCTGGGGGAAAATGCGGGTGGGAGCTTGAGCGGGGAGGCCTCTTCCTCTGAGGAGGTATGGCTTGGAAACGGGGATGAGCACCGCCCCCTAGAGTCGAACACGACTGGACAAAAATTGTCAAGGGGAACCTTTACCTTTACCTTTACTGTGATGAGGAATGCAAAGAGCAACAAATAACAATTTGCTGCTGTAGCATGTTAGAATCAACATAAATTTGTTTGGCTATGGCTTCATAGATGAGTCCACTCCATCAGATCATCATAGAAAATTCATTGTAGCTAAATACCACTGAATAGAACTTAGTGATGGCATTCACAGCTCTGATTTATCTCCTTTGAAATATAATTAGAGGAAACCTTTTGTTGACTTGTCTGTACTTTTCAAAAGAAAGCTAGTAAGATTATGATATCATTCTGTTGTATTTTGTTATTTGATGCACTGGAAAAATATTCTGTATTAATATTATAATTTGAGACTAGAACTACTGCAGTTGGATTTATTGTAGAATTTGCATCTCATCATACTGCTATATATCTCAGGATGCCTGTTTGTTTCAGTATTTTTTTTTTACAGCAGAGTTTTTTCTTGTTATCAGATGACCTCTGCAACAAGAGAACCTAAGTTCCCAATAGTAGCCGGGTGTCTGAAAGGACTGACTGCCCTAATGTATAATTTTACTAAATCCATGGAGGAAGGTACAGTATTTGTCTTATATTTTATTTATTTATTTATTTATTAGATTTTTATCCCACCCTTCTAGACAATGTCTACTCAGGGCAGCTTACAATAAAATTATTCATAAAACAGTTAAAACAACAATTAAAGTATTAATCAAGATGGGAAACTAGCCCAACAGGGATTTGTACTTGCAAACGTATTCTGTGTCTGGTTGTAAAAATGCATTAAAATATATTTTAAAAAGAATACAAAACAAATCTTCAGAAGCTTACCCATTTAACCTGTGAAATTACTCCTATTTGCATTGTGGCTGGGAATGGTCCTACTAGATAATAACATAGCTTATATCCTTTCTTGTGGTCACTACCATGGCTGCCCAAAAACAATCATGGCAGTTCCTCTATGTTTGGGCAAGAAGTGCTTAACTGATGAAGAAAAGGAGTCATCGATTTTCCCTTGCTTGATGTCTCTTTGTGAATGGTGTTTAGCAAAACAGGGTATGTTGTAAACCAGGGGTCCTCAACCCCCAGTCTGTGGCCCGGTGCCAGTCTGTGGGCTTCCTTGAAGTGGGCCACAGACACGAATCTTCACCGCCTGCATGCACGGTGGGGGTGTCGCGCTTGCAGAGGAGCACGTTGTGCTCATGGGTGGGTGAGCACCCCCTGTGCATAGAGCCGCATCCCCAAACCAGTCTGCGGTCCCAAAAGGTTTTTTTTCCTTTTTATTATTTAAGTATTTATTTAAGGACAGGGTAGGGAATACAAAAAGTAGGGGGGAATAGGGAAGAGGGGGAAAAAGCGGGATAGGAGAACACAGAGTATACCATCATCCAATCAATTCATATTATAATAATAGATCAACTTTTTGCTTTTTCACAGTTTGATTACCCTCCTGCTTTCATCTTATCATTTAATTTTAGTTTAATTCTATGTTACTCCAACACTATCTGGTAACTGCAGCCATTTATACAATACATCCCATCGTTCAGTTTCCTTTTGAATTGAACAGTCTTTCAGCCCATCTGACAGAATATCCATTTTTGTCACTTCCCATATTTTCACAATAAGATTCTCTTGTTTCAGTGTTTCTTTCTTGAGATTTTTAATATAATGCTTTTAAAATTTGGAAGCTGCATAGGTCACTGGATAACTCTCTATCCCATCTATGCTACCTGGTGTCATGCCCAATAAAGATGGTTTTAAAGTTTGTGCAGCTTCATTTAAGTTTTGTTTGGCATCTAATGTCCCCTCTTTCATCACTT